CCACTATTTCAACCTCACAGCCACTCCTTAAAACCCACTATTTTCAACCTCACAGCCACTCTTTAAAAACCCACTATTTTCAACCTCACAGCTACTCCTCCAAACCACTATTTTCAACCTCACAGCCACTCCTCCAAACCCACTTTTTTTCAACCTCACAGCCACTCCTTCAAACCCACTATTTTCAACCTCACAGCCACTCTTTCAAACCCACTATTTTCAACCTCACAGCCACTCCTTCAAACCCACTATTTTCAACCTCACAGCCACTCCTTCAAACCCACTATTTTCAACCTCACAGCCACTCCTTCAAACCCACTATTTCAACCTCACAGCCACTCTTCAAACCCACTATTTTAAAACCCTCACAGCCACTCCTCCAAACCCACTATTTTCAACCTCACAGCCACTCCTCCAAACCCACTATTTTCAACCTCACAGCCACTCCTTCAAACCCACTATTTTCAACCTCACAGCCACTCCTTCAAACCCACTATTTTCAACCTACAGCCACTCCTCCAACCACTATTTTCAACCTCACAGCCACTCCTTCAAACCCACTATTTTAAAACCTCACAGCCATTCCTCCAAACCCACTATTTTCAACCTCACAGCCACTCCATTATTTCCCACTACCGTCAACATTTACCACAAGTTCCTCATCCATCACTACCTCACTACACACCACCACAACCACCTAGAAGAATACATAAATAATCCTCACATAGGACAGAAAAGCTAACAGCGACGTTTAGGTCAGACTTGAATCATTTACAAAGTCACCACCCCCACTACTATAAACCACCACTTACCACCACCACTACTACTACTACTACACACCACCACTGACATATTTACATTCTCTAATTCTGTGTATCTCTACCATTTTGTACCTTAGTTTTCTCGGTTATCGTTAAGAATGCACACAAAGCTAATACCTCTACTGACGATGAATACCTAAATGTTCACGAACTGTTGCCTGCAAGAGTTAAGTAAAATACTGTTGTACTTTACTGGGTACAAACTGACAAGTCTACCTCTGCTACAACTTGACTGAAAAGCTTCAAGTACTGGTGACCGAGAGGTCTGAGTAGCTGAACCTGATAAGTCAGGTATTTCCAGGAGTGATTTTTGGGCCCAGGGCCTTTTATAAAACACACCTACACACACACACACACACACACACACACACACACACACACACACACACACACACACACACCTCAGAACAGCATTCCGACATCTTAATAAGGAATCGTTCAGGACCCTGTACACCGTGTACATTAGGCCCATATTGGAGTATGCGGCACCAGTTTGGAACCCACACCTAGCCAAGCACGTAAAGAAACTAGAGAAAGTGCAAAGGTTTGCAACAAGACTAGTCCCAAAGCTAAGAGGTATGTCCTACGAGGAGAGGTTAAGGGAAACCAACCTGACGACACTGGAGGACAGGAGAGATAGGGGGGACATGATAACGACATACAAAATACTGAGAGGAATTGACAAGGTGGCCAAAGACAGGATGTTCCAGAGATGGGACACAGCAACAAGGGGTCACAGTTGGAAGTTGAAGACACAGATGAATCACAAGGATGTTCGAATCGAATCGAAGACGACGACGAGAGCTGTCGTGAGATGGGAAGGAAGAAGGATAATGAAGGATGGAAATAACTGGAAAAGGATGGGAAGGAGGGGAAGAGGAGGAATCAAGGCAAGTGGCCCAACCACTTTGGGACATGTGGTACCGAAGTACTAGAGGCGTAGATGGAGAGGCTTGAATGATGTCGTTACTTGGCTCTCTAGGAGAGGATGGTGAAGGCAGCGGCAGGAGCTGAGAGTGTCAGTAGGCAGCAAGCAGGATGAGTTAGTTATTCTCTTGATCCGGTTGTCAATGCTTTGAATTCTGTTCTAGAGAGTTGTGTCACACATGGGAGAGCTGTAGAAGAGTTCGTTGGTTTGGAGTTGGTGGATTATCTGGTTGACGGTAGGGAATGGCTTTTCATCGGTGGTGTACGTTGCAGTGTTGTCTTGGAGATGTTGGATGAGTTCTAGGCGAGTCATTGGGCTGGGGTATTGTATCGTGGTGAAGAACATGAGTCCTTTGTGTTTAACCCATAGTGTTCCAGGTAATCGACGTGAGTGAGGTCGAGAAGGCGGTGATGGAGTTGAGGAAGGTGGTGTTGATGGCGGAGGTAGGGTGTTGAGTGGTGTTAAAGGTGGAATTGAAGATTCGTTGTCATCTTCAATAGACGAATAGGAAGATGTTTCTGGTGGCAAGGCTTCTGAATGGTTGGATTCAGTGAGGTGTGGTGGCGGTGGAGGCTTCTCATTGGACGGTGTTGGAGTGACGTCACTAGTTGGTGGTGGTGATGGAGCTTCTGCAGCAGAGGTGGTGATTAATGTAAATGATGGCTTGTTATTTAATGCAAATAATTCGTTGATGGTAGAGTTAAAGGATCCAGATACAGCCATGTTCTGCATGTGAGCGTATAGTAGACAATAGTGGATCACGTCACATGTTGGAGGAGTGATGGTGGTGGTGGTGGTGGAGGCGGGCTGAGTAGATGCTTGAAGTAATTTTATAGTGTCTGCTTGTAACTTTGCAATTGCGGCATACGTTGGTGTGTTGTTAGTAGATTTTTTCTTTGCTGCATCTTGTGTTTTCTTCATAATATCCTTTCTTGTAGGACATTTTACTGCCAGTGTATGGTGATCATTACTTTTGCAGTTTAAACACGCTGGTTGTGTTGGAGCAGCAGCGGCGGTACAGGAAATGAAGGTGAGTCCCTCACTACCACATGTAGTGCAGAACTTCTTGTCTTTTACTGGACATGCTTTGGTGGTGTGAAGATAAGAATAGCAGTTCCAGCAATGTTGGATGTAGTGGTATCTCTCTGCTTTTATGTAGGTGGGACTGATGTAGTAGTAGTAAACAGCAAGACCTTCGTTCAGAGCAGTGGCAGCCATGTTCACGTCGGTAAAGGTGACCTTGAGCATAGACGATGCATTCGGGATTTTGGTAATACTGTCAACAGTAGCACAAGTATTTTGAGTTTCAATAGATGACTCGAGTTCAGCAAATGGTCGAGAAGTCAGAATCTTGTCCAGTTTTTTCGGGAATACTGATTTCCCTGTCCTGAGGGCAGGAGAAGATGTAACAGTAAACCCTTTAGCAGTAAGAGTAGTGGTGGCTTCTGTAGTGAGTAACTTCTCTGCATCAGCATCATCTTGACACACAATAATGAATGCTTCTTTGAGTGACAGAATAGCGTTGAATTTCACATGCAATGTTCCCTGCTCAACAGTTGCAAGAGCAAGCTTCGTTGAATCATCAACGGTACCACTGTTTGGCTTGATCTTTACACGATTTGCGTAGCTCATCGTGCAAGTCAAGGTGAAGACAAAGCTGGTAAAGGTTCCCCTCCCCAACGGGGATCGTAGGGAGACTCGTGTGTCGTATTTTCTACTTCTGTAAGGCTCAGCAACACTCACAGGGATGTTAGGAAGTATTTCTTCAGCCACAGAGTAGACAGGAAGTGGAATAGTTTGGGAAGCGATGTAGTGGAGGCAGGATCCATACATAGCTTTAAGCAGAGGTATGATAAAGCTCACGGTTCAGGGAGAGTGACCTAGTAGCGACCAGTGAAGAGGCGGGGCCAGGAGCTTGGACTCGACCCTGGAACCTCAACTAGGTGAGTACACAAACGTCATAAATATGAATGCCTATAAGTACACTTTTAGCAGACTATTTGCCTGACAGTTTCGAGAAGTGTCATGGCAACATTTGAATGGAAAACGGTACCCCGTGACAAATTGCTCAAGACAAAGAACTGGTTAAATTATTGTGATTTTTCCACACTGGAGACTTAACTATACTTCAGCCCTATTGAGAACGTTTGGAAATTTATTAAAGTAGGCTTGGTGGCATGGACGTGACCTCGAACCCCAAAATCTCGAGTGCCATTAAGCTGATGTGGGAGGGTACTGACTTTTTTATCCTCCATAAGACAACATTATCAGTGCCTAGGAGACTTAAGGAGTGCATCAAGACGACGGGTAATCCTAGAAAATACTAGGAACATGTATAATTAAAACTATGTTATGGTGAGCAGCCTCGTTTATGTGCTCTGTTTATGCGCTTACATATTTATGACGCCTGCTGTGTTATACATGTGTGCGTGCGTGTTATTAGGTAACATTATACATGTTGCCCATGTTACGCAGTTTATGTGCGCCTCTGGTAATGTGTTATGTATGTTTACTTAAATATCTTTCTTTTCTAAGCAATATTTACAGCTACTCGGCTCACACCCTATATTGCCTTTCATGTTTTTCCCTCTCCACTGTGTACAATCATGAATGCATTTGGGATGAACTTTAGCAGCCACTTGTTTCACCATCCCTCTACCGTGTCCAGATTCACCATTAGCTTGTCTGTATTTCCATCTGTTCCAAGTTTTATCTCAGTTTACTTCACCAGAAGAGGAAAACCATCATCAGATGAATGAATTTAGGAGAGGTGTAAAGCATGAGATGAGGGAACGGGTCGAGGAGGACCCGGAAAAACTCTCTTAGATGAAGGAGCAAGAGAGAAGGAAAAAAAAAGAGAAGACAAGTAGAAAGCTACATTATGTTGGAACACATCAATGCTCTTCAAGGGTATTAAGTGTACAAAGGACAGCATGAAGAGCAAGAGGGAACAAAAGGGAGGAAACGAAGCAGCGCAAGGTTGTGAAACGCAGGAGAATATGAGAGAAATGTTGGGTTGAAGGAAGGATAGTGATGGTGTGGAAGGGAAGGTGATGATGGTGTGGAAGGGAAGGTGATGAGGGCGTGGAAGGGAGGGTGACGAGGGCGTGGAAGGGAGGGTGACGAGGGCGTGGAAGGGAGGGTGACGAGGGCGTGGAAGGGAGGGTGATGAGGGCGTGGAAGGCAACTGACGTCCATGGACGACAGTTGCCGGGTAGATAGGGAGAGTCTTGCGGGTGAAGAGTACCTACCTTCTGACCTCCTGAAGAAGCCGTCGTGGCGTTCCCTTAGAAGGAGGACACCCTCCTTGTCGAACTGGTGGGACGGGTGTGCGGCCAGGGAGGCCAACTCGCACTTGTTGAACCGCATCCCGCCGCCACGCCACACCTCTGCAACCAAACACAACCATTATACATCTTGCTTCTGTACCTTAATTCAAAACATATACATGTGTTTACTTGCAACACACGTTATACCGGGGAAGGAAGGAAAGGAAGAGATAGTTGTGTCGCCTGAGCGGTTAGTTTACTGTGCACACACAGCTCATCCTGTGAGCTGTACACAAACAGGATTAGAGGTCACAATGGGTCTTTGTCAGACCCCACTGAGCACTGTTACATCACTAGAAATACTAGACATTTCATATTTTACAATTATTTCATATGGGGAGTGAGATTGTTATTACCCTCTCAACAGAGCACTGAATAGCACTTAATACTCTTAATACATTTTATATAGCTAATCTATTAAATAGGAATAATTAATCACTGCATATTTATAGCAGCTAATGTTCTGAGAATGAGAAATAAACACTATAATTATTTATTACACTAATGATGAAAATATGGGAATATACAAATAAATGACAAAAATATAAATGACAGTTACAAACTTCTCTTAGTAGACCATCGAAGCTGAGTCCTGTGTGCCAGACTATCACCTGACTCTCTCTTCCTGAGACAGAAGAAACAAAAAAATCCTTGTTTATTACTTTCCCTACATTCCGTCTATTAAGAAATAACTAAAGATTATGAAAACCTTCAAGTTGCCTAAATTCTTAGGATATATTATGCCAAAACTCCTGAACATACAAAAGCTAAATTATATTATCATTTCTATGTAATAATGACATACCATCTTAACCTTATCCTGGTCCAAAACCTGACTCTACTTTTTGAACAATTGAAAGTAATAAAAAAATGTGATTTATTTTTCTACATTTGAATCGTGTAAAAAAAACTAGTTATGCTACATTTGTATTTTGGTTATACTTGCAAAACATGTAAAAAAAAGAAAAGCGTAGATTACTTTTGAGCACTACGGATTTGAAGTCGACGTTGAGTTTAAGGTTTTTAAAATACAATAAAAAAAACTTAAGTTCCGAATTTCTGACAATTTAGTTTTACCTAGATAGGCTTAGACATGGCCAATCCAAGGTCAAGCCAAATTGTTTCTCAGCACCGTCTCTTCTCTCAGAGTTTTCTTGAATCAAAGTCACAGGACCTACTTTGCTCACGTGTGTTTTTAAACCACCTGTCGAATCCAGTGCCAAGGTTTATACCATTTACTCTCTCATTTTCAATCATCGGTAAACCTCAGTAAATGCAAGAATGGAGAAACACTGCAGAAGGCCTACTGGCCCATACAAGGCACGTCCTTATCAAAACCACCCCTTCCCAAAGCTACCCAAGAATTTACTCCCGCTCCCTGTATAGGGAGCGTCTCTCTTTCTAGTATACATCTCTTCTTTTTGTCTTAAAGGAATGTAGCATTGAGCATACGTCGAGTACTACAGAGTTAACTCTTTCTAGGCAAAGGTTCGGATCCGTGTTGTTTAGGATATATTCTCAGCTTCTTTCATTGAGGATATGGTTGATTTGATCCCACTCTATGTTTTTGTTATTGAAGTTGAATTTGGTGAAGACATCTTCATAAGTGACCACCTTATGCTGGTCAGGATCCCTGCACATACATATTTGTACTTCTGTTATGTTATGATCTGAGTCTGTCTCTGATACTGTTATATTTCGTATCCGGTCATCATTATTAGTGGTGCTGAGGTCAACTGTATTTTCCAGTCTTGCTAGCTCTTATTGCTGGCTTAAGGTGAAATTATTGCAAAGATTTAATAGCTTTTGTGTGAATTTTCATCTGAGCTGCCTCCTGGGGTTATCTCTGCTAAAACATTATTTGCTACATTCCTCTACTTTAGAAGTCTTTCTTTGAAATCACCTAACAGGACGATGTCTGGAGCAGGAGTTGGGAGATTTTACAGACAGTAGTCAATTTTCAAAAGCTGTTCTTTGAACTGTTGGGAAGTTGCACCAGGTGGCTTGTATACAACCACAATAACAAGGTCATGGTTTTCAATCTTTACTACCAAAATGTCAACTACATCATCTGAGGTGTTTCAGTAATTCCGAGCAAATGAGTGACTGACATACAGGCCAACACTCCCCCCCCCCCCCTTGTTGCCTGTTTATTCTTTCGCATCTGAAGAAGTTATAACCTGGGATCCATATTTCGTTGTGAAAGTGATCCTTTATGTGGGTCTCTGTGAAAGCTGCAACCATTGCATTTGATTCTGTGAACAGTCCACTTACGAAAGGTATTTTGTTTGTCGATGGCTTTAGACCCTGTATATTTGCAAACACAATGTTGTCGTATTGATGGTGTGTAGGGATGGTTTTATTTGGTGGCACTAATATCTGTTGTTCTGGAGTAGAGGCCACTGACTGTGCCTCCACCCCAGTAATGATCCAAGGTGGTGTAATATTTCTGAAATTTTTTGTCATTTCTTTTAGTGTCAAGAGTGGTGTCAGGATTGGTAGTGGTAATGTCAGGAGTGGTGGTGGTAGTAGTGTCAAGAGTGGTGGTGGTGATGGTAGTGTCAGGAGTGGTGATGGTAAGGTAGTGTCAGGAGTGGTGGTGGTGATGGTAGTGTCAGGAGTGGTGATGGTGATGGTAGTGTCAGGAGTGGTGATGGTAGTGTCAGGAGTGGTGATGGTGATGGTAGTGTCAGGAGTGGTGATGGCAGTGTCAGGAATGGTGGTGGTGATGGTAGTGTCAGGAGTGGTGATGGTGTCAGCATAGCTGCTGATCCTCCTTTACATGTGTTGTATGCATAGATTAGCTGAGTATTATAGTACCATCCATGTGCTTTATATAGAAGATCCCTAGGCCTGTGACTGTACGACGTCACGGGATACAGCATGAGTGAGAGGCGCTGCCTCGTCCTCACTCCACGCTTAGACCTAGAGCAAGGCAGTAACACGGCAGGCCTGGGCTCCATCCCTTACCACAGTCTGACAATACATATCGTTACCATCCAACAAGTGAGTTTACCTTATCCATCATATCTCCTTCCGAACCCCCACGACAAATTGGTGCCAGCGGAGGGCCTGTAATTCTGACGATTACAGTGATTTCTGGAGATAAATTTCTACTGAGCCGGTCGCCATCTTGTGACTAGGCCTGCCGAGAAGGGTAACGCTCGACCTAGCCAGCCAGCTACCCCAAGCAAGTGTCTACCAGCCTCTACACTATTCACTGGTCAGTCTCTTTGTATTAGTGTTTATCTGCTTATTTGCATCACTCCCGAGGGGTTGACCCGAGTTTGCAAAGTAAGCCAAACCAGCACGACAGTCTGTGGTGGGGGAGTCAGCCAGCCTAGCCTTACACCATTCCAGCCTTGCCTGCCAAGCCAGCTTTCCACCCCTGCTGTGCTCATCATTAGAAGTTATCAAGCCATTCTGTGTAAGCCAAGCCAGCCAGCAACTAACCCAGGTGACTAACCGAGGTGACTAACCCGGTACTCAAGCAAACCACATGGGTACAGTCTTCCTCATCGCTTTGTGCTTCAAGCTCCAAGCCATTCTGAGTGCTTTTTCATCCCTGTGGTGTTGTGGTATTTCGTGGGTTTGTTTTAAGCCAGTCCGGCTTAGAATATTTTCGTGCCTAAGTGAGGATGTCCCCAGTGAGGCTTACGCCGTTCATCCCATAGACCCAGTCACCACGCGGTCTCACCACCACCCTGCCTCAGCCGCCTCATAAGCCAGTCCGGCTTAGAATATTTTTGCGCCTAAGTGAGGGTGTCCCCAGTGAGGATTACACCGTTCATCCCATAGGCCCAGTCACCACGCGATCTCACCACCGCCCTGCCTCAGCCGCCTCACTCACTCACTCACTATCACTGTTTTTACCCTTATTACGGGTTCTAGCACCATATTTTAAGGACCACATCGGGGGTCAAGAGCTAGTGTGTGTTCTTTCATCAATGGCGCCATCGTTAAAAGCCTCCTGTGTCGGTCCATCGTCGATTTAAGCGCAAAATTCTACGATCACGTGGAGAGTAGCAGCGAGCCAGCCACTACCATCCTCGACCACCCACCTCATTCAACACGTCGCTACAGTGTTAACGAATAATATTTATTTTTCATAGACACATTTGCGGGTGTTGAGACATTTCTTTTTCGTGTTTCCAGTGATTTCTTAGTGACATTCAGTAACTCTTGATTAGACTCAGTGTTTATTATATACTGTTTGCAATATTTTTTTTTCTCTTTTTAATTCAGTGTTAATTTTCGTGCATAATTTCATGTCTGTTGTGTTGTGTTCTTTTTTTTTATATACTTGAAGTAAGTACCTTAGTGTTTTTTTCTTGTTGTGTGCAACACATATAAGCAGTATAGAATTTGTATTAAATTTCACAATTACTTTGTGTTCACAGTATTACAGTGAAGTAATTCAGCAATTTATTACCTTGTATTCTGCATCACAACTCAGTGTTGTCTGTTATATTTTTCTCACAGAATTCGTGTATTCTTTTGCCATTTTATTTTATTTTCCTCCGTGTGGTGAACATTCTTGTGTTCATATTCTTTTCATTTAGCCAGTGTCTAATTTGTCTTATTCCACAGACAATAGTGCCATTGTTTTGTTCAAGCAAGACAATTATTTTACAAATTTTTCACACATCAAGTTTCACTGCAAGAAAATTCTAGTATTGTGTTTATATTGATGTGTTGTGTTCTGCATCACTAAGTGTTCAAACCTTTTTTGTTCTGTGTTTTTGCATCTATTATTTTTATATTTCATTGAACAAATTCACTCTTAGTGCAATTTTTAAGTTCTTCTTTTAAAGTAAATCATTCTTTGTTGTTCAGTCAGTGTTGCTTAAGCTGCAGTTAAGAGTTAAAGTGTTCACTCAGTTCATTCCTTGATATACTTTCTTTTCTTGTAAACTGCACTTTCTTGTGTGTGTAATTTTTTTTATCATTGCTACATTGACTCATTTTACAATAATTCTTGTGCAAACATTGTGTTGCCATTTAAAATTTTTCTTGCAGAAATTTTATGTAGTGGTGTGCAGTACTTTTGATTAACAATT